AATATTGAGAAATTAAGTACTTTACAACTCAGGGAATGTTTTTTTAATAATCCCCTCCAGACCACTTTTTCATTCTTCTGATATTGATTTGTTTTTATTTATTTCTCAATGACATTATTCCTTTTTTCTTCTCTCTTTTGCCTCCACAGCTTGCGATTGAGGGGAAATATCAATTGATTTTGCAATGCATAAGGAGCTACAGTACAGTGTATGAAACTCACCTGCGGTCAACGGAATGCATGTCATCCAGGCCCAAGATTCGGTCATCATCCGCGAAGTAGTCTTCATCCTCATGGCAGTTGAATTGTGCAAGATCTCCAGCTGGCATTTTGCTGCAGGAATCATGCGAAAAGCAGGGCTCCGAGTCTCGATTTTCCGAGAAAAAGATGGCATCGAACGTGACAAAGGCAGAGCTTTGCTTGTCCTGAGTCTCGTCATCAGTCTCTGATGCTGATGATATCGAGGCCTGGGCAGCTGTGGAATATTCGGGAAATCGCTTGACTCATTGCGGCAACTGACAGCTCGTCATTGAATACTTCGAATTTTGCTTATGTCATTGAACATGGGCATGGCTGACAGAATAAATTAGTCTTATGCATGCGCAAAGGTGGCTGACGTCATTTTTATGTACTGTAAAATCTTGTTACAACAAACTACGCGGAAGACTTGGGTTAGAATTCGAATTTTCACGAACAAAATTATGATGAAATTCTTGGTTTGTTGATCATGCATACCATTGTCATTTCATTGCAAATGGGTGAAAAATGATTTGAAAAACTCCAGGAAGAAATATATTTAAAATGAAACATAATCGTAATCCAGACCCTCCATTATATTCAGTTGCCTAAAAATATGCTGATCTCATTCAAGAATAAGCTGAAACAAAAAATAATTCGAGAGCGCTTATTATGCTTGATTTCAAATATCTGATGATATCAGCATTTAGAGTATTTGAATGTTTTTAGTCAGTCACAGTAGGTGAGATTTCCCACATTGTGCTAGTGTTAGGGATTTTCAAGGGTACAAGCACACATACCCACAGGGAAAATTCTTTATGCTTAGATTTAAAATCAAAATTAGCTTTTCATAAAAAAATCTGGAATGCGTTCATTTGGAGAAAAGGCTGCTTAGGCCAAGAAACATTGTTATGTGAAAAAATGCATCATAAAAAGTTATAATGTAATTTTATTATACTGTAAATTGCTTGACACAGTTAACCAAATCACATCTTCAATGCTACTGTGAAATAATTCCATTGGATTTGTATTGATGGAATTGAAGATGAGCACTTCTATAATAATAACAGGTAACACAAAACAGAGTTTTGACTACCCTTTTCTCTGGAGAATGCAATATACCCTTGGAACTCATATGAGCATAAGCTAAAAACTGCAGGGAGCTTAGGTATATGTAATGCCAAATCTCTCATTTTCAACACTAATGCAGTGCAACCCCCACATCACCTGGACACCTCAACATGCAGAAAACTCAACGTATGAACAAGTATTTTCTGACAAAAAAAGGCCTGATATGCAGACATTGACTGAACATGTGGACATATGTGCTAAAATTGCATATATTATTTCCCAATTTACAAGAAACAGATATTTCCAACCCTAAGATCTATATTTAGGAAAATGTCTTTGGTATTCCTCTAATGATTCCACCATCCTGCATTCAGCTAATTTTAAAAAAATACCTCCAGCACAGAAGGACTTCCTAATCAATTTTTTACTTGAATTTTTCTTTTACAGAAAATGCCGGCATTTCAAATTACCGTACAGAGGTACAGTAATTCATGCTCCAAATGTCCTCATTGAGTTATAAAATACTCATTGAATCAGTTTAAAATCTGTTTGAAACTGATTGAATCAGCTGAAGAAAAAATTGAGGGTACAATGACTTAGTCCAGACCATAATCCTTGATCAAAGACCTTCACAGAGGCCTGGAAGCTTTTTTCTCCGTACCGTATAGCGTATACCATGACAATTTTCGAAGAAAACTCAAGAACCGACGTGATTCTCGCTAGTACTAACTGGATGAAGCCGGTGGAAGACTTTTGACGCTGTTATGAGCCATTGCCTCGCGGAATTTTCTCTTTCCCGCAGATCTCCTGTTCTGCGTGAATGAGTTTTCGGTGACGAGACCTGTCAAGACCCTGAACTGTGGTTGAGAGGAAGATTAAACGATCCGCGAGAGAAATTTGAGTGCACGCAGGGCAGGAAAGAAAACTTCGCGAGTTTTTGATCTGTTTTATGGCACCAGCTTACCGCCGATGAAAGACCCAAAGATGT